CTGGTCCCACCCCGGGCACGCTGAGCTGGCCACTAGGCCAGGCGTGGTGGCGCACGTCTGTAATCCCAGCGCTGGGGAGGCTGAAAACAGGAGGACTGCCACAAGTCCAAGCAGCACAGTGAGACCTTGTACCAAACACATTTAAAAAAAAACCCAAAAACTGCAGCACTGTAGTGTACAGTACAATCAGCCAAGGTGACAGTGCTGTATAAACAAGGTGCACTGAACCCAAAAAGGTACTGAGGCTCTATGAAAAAGACGTACAGAATTGCATTTTAAAAAAAGGATGAGCCATGAGTCTGAGCAACAGGTGGCAAGCCCGAACAGTGGTTGAGCAGGCAGTCCCACCACAGCCCCAATCCCGGCATTTGCTCTCTGCCTCAATACCATTACCTTAAGAAAAGCTGCCGGTGGACAGCCAGGGCTTGATTCGTGTGACAGTGATAGATGAGAATTTTTTCATTTGCCTTTATAGATAAAAAGAAAAAAAGTGTGCTGTTAGCATTTTGAATTAAGACCGTCAACTTCCTATAAGAAATACAGAAATATGCCACATAGTAATTTCAATTTAATATATTTATAGACTAACTTGGAAGCCAAGGCATAATAAATGTGATAAGCACACTGTGACAGACATCTGTATGACAGAGTGATCACTCCAAGCCATCGTGGAGATCTTTGACAAGGTGGCATGGTTGATGGTGTGAGTTGGAAATATGTATTTATGATGTTCTGCTCTGTAAAATAACCTCAAAAATCCACATATGTACATCTATATAGAAAAAGAAATGGTGAACAGCAGCAGCAGTCTCTGGAAGGTGCAACCCTTACTGGTAATTTGCATTTTATATGTGCTTTTTTTCTTTTTACTTTAGAAGCAAACATGCATTTGTTTATAATCAGAAAAAATAAACATGACTTTAAAATGCTGACTGGTTGATATCAAACACTGTGGCAGAGAGAGGAGTAGCCTAAGCCTAAATCTAACCCCAACACAGCTCAGAGGACACAGGGTCACAGTGCCACGGTCTGTGTGGTCACACATCAGACTGCACAGCCTGTAGGGACCGGCCTGGCTTCCTGGGAAGCTCTTTCTGTGGCCAGGATGGAGACACCCAGCAGGATGGGCACGGCAGCAGATGAGCACTTCCCCGTGAGCTACACACAGAAGAAAGGTGAGTGAGGTCACGCGAGCCGCAGGAAGCCTCTGCTTTCCAGACAGGGAGGCACATCTCTTCCTGCACTGCAGAGCCCGTGCCCTTCTCATGTCCAATGCGCTCACCTGGACCGGGAGGCCCTCGTGCTCCAAGCGCAGCTGGGGGTCGAGGAAGGTGGCCTGCCACCTGGCCAGGTGTGACAGCTCATCCGTCAGGTGCACCTCCTGCAGCCAGGACTTCTTGGCTGACTTCAGGAGGGTCCTGTGGTCACTGGATAAATACAGCTGGAAGGGACACAGACAAGCAAGTGGGACGCAGTGATTCTCAAAGTTGGGGTAACAGCAGCCAGCACGCTGGGCAGTCAGTGTGTCCCAAAGCCCAGCTCTTAAGGATTGCATGAGAAAGTGTGTTCTTCCCCCCTGGAAATGCCAGCTTGGAATAGGAAGGTATCTCACACACACACACATCTCACACTGTTGTCCCTGCTTAAGGACACTCAGTGTCTCTCTCTTCCCACTCCCTGCCACTCATCTGCCTTGGGGAACTGAGGGCACAGCCACTATTTCATTTATTATAAATAATATAACAGGAATCTTGATCCACAGACTGAAAGTACCCTTCAGACCAGCGTCCTGTCAGGCTCTGCTGGAGCTCCAAGGCGACTCTGGATGGGGCTCAGCTGAGAGTTCATGTCAGCTGTTGACAGCGAGCCCTCCGCCCCCCCAAAACCCCATGCTCACTCCTTGTTGTTCTTTCCCAGTTTGCTTCACCCTGAATGTGACAACAGCTTCTGTCACAAGTGACAGGCTTCTAATCACTCCACTGGCACAGCAGCGCGGGCACCACTGGGAAGGCAATGCACACTACAGCCCCTAGCAGGACAGTGGCGGCATAGACTGGGTGACACTGGCCCCCACGTGGTTGCTGAGGTCCCACAGCAGAGCTGCTGGGAGGTGGGGAGGCCTGACAGGAAGTCCCCAGGCCTCTCCCACACTCCTCTGTGTGCCCTGGGAGGGGACAGTAGGGCCCCAGCTCCTGCTTTCTCTCTGCTCCCGGCTTTGCTCCACACAAACTCCTTCCATGCTGAGCTGCCTTACCACAGGTCCGGGGGGGGGGGGCATATCAGCCTCCAAAACTGTGAGCCTAAACCCACCCTTCCTCTGTATAAGTGGATTATCTCTGGCCTTTCAGCAGCATAACTCAAGGCCAACCCTGAGGAGAGCCCTGAGGTAAAGGCAGAGCAGCAGAGTGGCAATGAGCTTGAGGGCGGGGGACAGGTGCCATCTGTGGGGACATCTTGCGGAAGGACTTACACAGTGGACACACAGAGCATTCCTGGGCAGTGAGGAGCCACAGCTGGCTTTTCAGTGAGAGTAGAGGCGATCAGGCCTGAGCTTTTAAAGATCAGTCTGGCAGCCCCTGCCTAACATGGTCTGCAGTAGTCAGGAAGACTAAAAGGCCCAGACCAGGGGCCTACACGGGAGGGAGAAGGCAGGTGAGGGACCTGGGGAGGGACAGCAGAGGACTCAGTAGAGAGCTGGGCACACTGGGACGAGGATGGGGCCCAAGTTCACCAGGCTTGTGCCCTAGAATGCAAGGAAACTAGGCGCCATTCAGAGGCTCAGGGAAACCAGGGCCAGAAAGAGTATTTGCCTCAAATCAGATTGCTCCATTCAAACCACACTAAAGAAAGGCAGTCCAGTCAGAACTGAGCTAGAAGGTATGGCCACCGGATTGTTTATGGGTGCCCCAGAGGCGCATGCTAACCCCCAGACAAGAAGCAGAGATGACAGGCATGAGAGTCGGCGAAGACAGAAAGTCACCATTTGAAGATGAAATGACTATCTATCTACCTAGAAAATTGCAAAGGATCAGCTGCAAAGCTATCAGCATGAGCAACAGCGATTTCATCAAAGGTGATGTGAAAACTGTTTTCTTATAGTTTTATAAGAAAAATTATTCTTCATTCAATCAAAGTTTCCATATTTCCCCTATCAAAAAGACCTCCCTTACAGTGGTGGCCAAAACACAAGACGCCAAGGAATAACTTTAATGAAGTATGGCAAATACATGGGAAGAAAACCGCAAATCCTCACTGAGAACAATGAAATGTTACTAAGAGAACAGATAGAGACAAATGAGAAAAATGAAAATTATTAACCTACTAAATATGCAACTGTCCTTACTTAGACAACACCAATCAACATGTGAAGTAATCTCTTCGCCCTACAAGGATAGAGGATCTTGGAAAAATAATTATTACATTTAACTGCAAGATTAATTCTTAATATAATTCAGACAAAGAAGTGTAATGAAAGATAATTAGGAGCTGTTAAAGTATATTATACAGCTACAATAATTAGCACACTGTACTTCTAGAATAGAAATAGACAATTATGGTTCAATGGATCAAAATAGAAAGCTTAGAAATAGCACATCATGCATATGGTAATTTAAGGTCCACTAAGGGAAGCACATGTCGCAGTGTATAAAGAGAGAGAGAGATCAGTTCTAACTGCCATTTGGGAAAACGCAGACACTCACATAAAACTCTATCAAAATAAATCCTAAAAAATACATTTAAACAAGATGCAAATCATTAGCGTGTTGAAGAGAATACAGTATTTTCTTTTTATTAGATCGCTGAAGCAAACTAAAACTTAAAATGGAAAAACTTTCAAAGAAAAATATTGATAGATTTTTACCTAAAAATATAATATTGAAACAACTGTAATTTAAAAGTCGAAGCCCAGGGGAGGAAATACTGGCAACAAATATGACAAAACTTAAGAGGATAGAGAAGAAAAAAATAAGGAGAAAGAAGGAAGAACTCGAGGGGGGAGAGGAAGAGAGGTAACAGGATGCAGGAAAATTCACAAGCACTGCAACATCCACGCAGCTTTTTTCTCTTGACTTGTCAGCTTAGCAATGATTTTAAAGATAATATTTAATATAATTAATTTCATTTGTTGTTGCTGGGAACACAAATTGGTACAAACCACTATCGGAAGGATAGCTACCAATACTTTGAAACCTATTCATGTTCTCTGACTCAGTCATTTGTATTAAAAAAATATATGAAAAAGAGCTTTATTAAGATGGGATCCCTAGTTTGGCATTGGGAAGGGAAGCCCGAAGCTCTTACACACACAGCTCCGTGATAGACCTGCAGAGTCACGACTTACCATCTTGTTTTCAAATCCTCCTGTTATCCCAAGGCAAAAGTCCTGCCCGTACCTAAGGACTTGGCCGGTGGCATCTCTGCCTACACTGTGGGTGGACAATAAGCAAAATGAAACCACTGATTTAGAATCTGCAGCTCTATTTTTTGTCTATGTGTATGATCCACTGTCTTAATAAGATATATTTATAAACCATACATGAATTAAAGAACTAAAAATTTCTCAGGCCGGTGAGATAGCTCAGTGGACTAAGCACTTGCTTAGGCAAGCGCAGGGACTAGGTTTTGATCCCCAGTACCCCATGCCACACTGGTCCCACCCCCAAGTTCACTGAACCAGCAACAGTGTCCAGGTGTGGTAGTGCACCCCTGTAATCCCAGCACTGGGGAGGCTGAAAACAGGAGGATCACTACGAGTCTGAGCTGTGTGGTAAGACCGTGTACCAAATGCATAAATTTTAAAAAATAAAATAAAGATTCTCTTGGTCTTAAAATCTGACTGGCTCTTTCCTGTCCTGCCCAAGACCCACAGCACCCACTCTTGAGGAGTTTCTCGCTGATCTGGCTTAAGCCCTTGTGCTCAGGAACACTAAGGATTTCCAGTCACAAGTACTGGCACCTGCAGAGAGAAACAAGGCCACACGTTTGTAGACTTTCCTACACGCTTCCCACTTCTTCCTCCAGGAAACAAAAATTGTGCTTGGTGTTTAGTTGTTTTGGCATAAACTATGTGTACTCAAGAGAAATCTAAATCAAGGTCTTAAAGGACCAGCTATGCTCTTGTCATACGAACGTCACTATCATAAATTAATTAATGAAGTGAAAGCAATCACTTTTAGTTGGTAATTGTTTATTTTCAAAATCTCCTAAGTACATATTCGTGGACAATTTTTCAAAAGTAAATCCTATTCAGTGCCATCTAATAGAACATTCTATCTTTTTCATTGTAAAGATAGCGGAACAACCTTAACAACAAAGGCTCACAGGAGCACAAGATCCTGGGACACCATTAGGAAAACCTGCTTTGCTGATGGGAACACATGAATGCAATTCCCAGGATGGGATAATCATGAAGCAAACATTTGGAACTGAACGCAGCTTGCCGCCTGAGGTAAAGTGGAGTGTGAAGTCTCCTTCAGAACAACTCTCAAGGTGGGCAAGCAAGCTGAGACCATGGAGTCTTAGTCCTACTCCCCACCCCCACTCCCTCAGCCCCGGGGCATTCTTAGCCCACAAGTCCCACAGAGGAGACCCCAGGAGCCAAAGCATCTCTACCTCAGAACGACAAACGTGCTTCTGCCCACTGGGGCTATGGCCTGCGCGGCACTCAAGCCGCAGGGCAGCTGCAGCTCGTCACTCAGGTGGGCGTGCATTTCATCTGGAGTCATGCACAGGCTCAGGTCCCCGCCCAGAAACACACCAGCTTCTTCCCGCTCTGGGTGGTCAGGATTCACCAGCATCACTTGGTCGCCATAGTGAATGTATCCGTCTTCAGATACCGACAGCTGCATCTGCAATATTAGGGATTTTTCAAATAAACCACATATAATCCCTTCACCAAGGACAAGCCCGACCCCATTACCATCTCCTTTTCTCAGTTCTGCACCACAGCCTGAGGGTTTCCCACACGTTCCCCCAAATCTTTAGTTCTCTTCCTTTCCCTTCCACTTTGCTAAGGTCAAGTTCCCAACAATCTCAAAGAATACCTAATGAACCTGGTGAAAATCACACAGGTTGCCGGTACCATTTACTAAGCACTCACTGAAAATGTCTTGAGCACCCACTAGAAGTATTAATGTATCAGTCCATTAATTTCTTTATTTGGAAAATGCAGGTAAACACCATTAAAAGCAGATGTCTTGGGCTGGTGAGATGGTTCAGTGGTCTAAAGCACCTACTTAGAACAAACTAAGCTAAGCAAAGCACAGGGACCGCGGTTCAATCCCCAGCAACACATGCCAGCCCGCCCCGCCCCCTGGTGGGCTGAACTGGCCACACACACACACACAAAATCAATCAATCAATCAAAAAAATCAGATGTCTTTATCTTCTTAAATCTTAAGGAATTCGAAACATTGTGGCTCCCAGACCAAAAATAATTTAAAAAGTCCTTCTAAAAACGTTGTCATTTGGGGCTGGGGAGATGGCTCAGTACAGTAAGTGCTTCCCTGGCAAGCGCAAGGGTGGTTCCACAAAAAATAAAAAAATAAAAACATTGTCACTTTCTAAATAGTAACTCATTCAGTAGTTTTTTTTGTTTGTTTGTTTTTTGTTTTTTTTTGTTTGTTTGTTTTTTATCTGCTTCACATATGTTCATACTTCTTAGAATTTTGGAAAACAATGTTAAAATCACCGGTCTCAAAAGGTGCATTTTCAGTCTTCTGTTTCTCTGAATGAGAAGTTTCCCCTGCTCTCTCTTCTCTAAGAAGTCTTTCATAAGCTCCTGATTAAAGAAAAAGAACACCATTCAAAGACAGCAATAGCCTCCAGTAGGGAAGGTACTGGTGGCTGTAGGGTCAGAAGCTTCCTGAACTGAAAAAGCAAAGTTTCAGAACAGAAGGGAAATATGTTCATAGAGGGAATATCAGGACTTTTATTAAGCATTACTGTAATGCTTATAACATTGCAGAATCTTTAGAAAATTGGGAAAGGCACGAGAAGGAAAAGCAACATCCCCTGTGATTATCCCAGCTGGGAAGAACAGTGTGGAGATAGGTGGTCCTCACCTCTCCTCTGTGAGGGCACTGAGCGTTGGTGAGGGGTACTGAGGCCCACTCCACCCCACCAGGGTCAGCGGAGAACCTGAGGGTGCACACCTGCGGGTGCACGTCGGGGCCGGGGACAGAGTGGGCCGCAGCATAGAACGGCCTCACCTGGCTTACGGTTTGGGGACCCTAGTGGGCTATAGACCAAGGGGTGGCGGGGGTGGGGGTAGGCCTGCAGAGGCTTCGACAGCTAGGATGAGGCCAGGGCAGGAGGGTGCTGGCTGGGCTTCGGGCCTGAGTTTGCAGGGCTCAGAGAAGGGTGGATGTGGGGAAAGAGGCGGGGCCTAAGACCAGGCTTGGGGTCTGGGGGCGCCTGTCACACCCCACGCACTCACGACCTCCTCTAGATAGGCGTCCTCATTCCAGTTTCCCATCCGGACTCGCGGACCGTACAGGTTCTGCGCCATGGTCACCTGCAGTCCGGAGCGTCGCCCTCCTTCCACTACGGCGGTCTTTAGCTTGCCTGGTCGCCGTGACGACGGGGGTGGGGCGTTGGTCGAAGTCCAGCATCGCTGGCCAATAGGCGTCCGCGCTCGGGTGCAGCCTGTGAGCGAGGCTACCTCAAGCCTCTGAGCGCTTCCTTACAAACCCAGAGAGAGGAAAATTCAAGACAGTAAGCCTCATTGTCCTAAATGAACCCTAGAGAAAAAGTAAGAACTTTTTCTTGTCTGTTCAGGATCCAAAAGCAAAGGGCCATCGGGGTGCCCCTCGCTTGTTGCGGCACCAAATAGCTTTGAAAGGTCAGCAAGGCTGGATGGAGGGCAGAGGATTTTCCACATTATCTGCTGCTGCTCTTTTCCTAATCATAAAACAAAAGGTGCTCATAGAGACATTTGAGACCCAAACTAACGTAGAAGGACGTGGGGAGAGCTGCTCCAATTTTCAGTCTCCGAAGAAAGAAACAGGTCACGCTAGTACATGTTTATTGATACATTTCTGGAGCAAGTGTGCATTTTTATGGGCTTTGCAGCCTTCCTCCTTCCTCCTCCAGTCCGCCAATGAGATGACAAGCATTCCTCATAAAACTACCACACACTGTAGCCAATATTTGTAAAAATAAAATACGACTATGAGTAGCGAGGATAAACAGTCGCTGTTCTACCTGGAAGTGGATGCTGGGCAAATGCATGCAGTAACTCTCCAAAGAGCAATTTTATCCGAGAAGGGAGAAAAAAGGAAGACCCGGGAGACCTCGTCTCAGCAAACGTGGTCTACAAGAGAACATCGCTCATGAAAACAGACCACAGGAAGAACGCAGTGAGTGTATGTGGGGATGCCGTGACGGAGCCCTTAGCAGCTGCAGACCGTGTCAGCCTTGGGGGCTGTGAGAGAAGAAGTGGGGGGCCTTTCGGTAGCAGGGTGCTGTGGAGCCTGGCTTGGAAGTGGCTTGGCATCCACTTCCAGTAGCATTCCCCACAAACCCACCAGCGCGGTCCCTGTGCAACTATATTCAGGGATGCTTTAAGTAAGAGGAGTACCGCAAACACACAGGTTGAAACACTGCATGATTCTCTTATAGGAGAACCCCAAACTATAAAGAGCAACACATAAGGTGGACCGTAGGAAATAGGGAAATAGGTCTTTTGCAAATGGGAAGGAGACCAAGATGCGGGAGGGTTGGATAGGGGAGTGAAAAGAATGAAGATGGGTTCTGCACATATGCCAACTCCTCACGGTGAGTGTGACCATTACACACTGCAAACACAGACTAATAAAACTTTTATTAAAAAAAAAAAAAGATATTTCCAAAGAAAGGACAGGACAGAGAAGCCAGCTCAGATATCTTTCCACTCACTGCACCTGACACATTAAGAAACTGGCATTCCAAGACGCTAGCACCCTACAAGCTTCAGTCGGTAAAAGGAGCCACACACTGAGTAATGATGCCTCCAACAACACTAGACCTCAGGTAGGATGCTGATCCCCACAAGGTCATAATGGAGCTGTAAGTGTGCTGTTGCCTAGTGACAGAGAGCAGTTGTGTGATGCTGTCGTGTGACACATTAGTGTTTGTGTCATGTTGGTGCAAACAAAGCCAGCACGCTGTCGGTCGATGAAAGTATAGCTCAGATACTTATGCACAGTGCCCAGTGCTTGGTAACAGCAATAAATGACTGCATTGCTGGGGTATATATTTACTGTGCTCTTATCATTATTTTAGAGTGCTCTTCTTGTACTCAATTAAAATACAAGTCCCTGTAAAGCAGTCTGTGTGTGGAGCTGGCAGCAGGCTCACAAGTGTCGTGTTTATGGCCTACCCTGATTGTACTGCTTTCCCTTGCACTTGGTTTATTCTCCTGCTGCTTTGCCCCTCATGGCCCCAGAGCCTGCCGATTCCACAGCTGGTGCTGCCAGTGAGAGGCTGCATCAAGTCATGGGCCTGGAAACAAAAATAAAAGTGATAACGTGGCCACAGACTGGAGAACCAGTGCTGTTTCTCCACAGCCGGACAGGGCCCATTCCACCACAGCTTTAGTCCTATGGGCGGGAGCAAGTGACAGCAGATGTTTAAGAGTGAGTGTTATGATCTGTGCCTAGATGTCTCCCCAAAGCCTCATGCAGTCATGGAGCAGGCTTCTAGGATCTGTGATTGATTCACGGTCCACTGCTGGGATTATGGGTGTGAGTGCTGCTGGATTATGGGTGTGGGGGCTACACCCGCTCTAGCTTACATACAACATAAGAGAGGGGAAGATGTTCTCTCGCTTCCTCCTCCCATTTTGTTCTTGTTGCTGTTGCTGTCTTCTACTGCCATGAGCTGTATGCCACTCTCCCTTGGAGCCAGCCCAGTATGGACTGAAATCTCCACAGACTATGAGCTAAATAGACCTTTCCTGGATTAGGAGATAGCTTAGCAGCGTAAGTGCCTGCCTGACAAGCACAAGGTCCTGAATTTGATCCCTGGTACCACAGAGTGTGCCACCCTGGCAACTCAGGCACACCAGGCCAGACCTGGAGCAGGGCATGGTGGTACATGCCCGCAATTCCAGTACTAGGGAGGCTGAGACAGGAGGATCATGATGAGTCCAAACTGCACAGTGAGACCCTGTATCAAAAAATACATATTTAAATAAATAAATTTTTCCTTCCTTAATTTAGAGTGGCAGGTACTTTGCCTGAGCAATGAAAGAAAAGTGACTAAGAAAATAAGCTCCATCGAAGGCAGTGAGGAGCCCTGGGAGCAAATACAGAGAAGCTTCTAAGAACACACGTCAGTGCCCAACACTCTAGGACGGCCACACACTAAGAAAATCACGTAACAACACTGTCCTAGTCACTTTCTTGGCACTGGGACACAATACCCCACACCTACAACTTCAAGGAAAAGCAGTCTCAGAAGTTCCAGTTCAGGTCTGTGAGGCCTAACCACAGAAACAACATGGCAGAAGGGCCTAGCACAAGGAAGCGACTCCAGTCATGGCAGCCAGGAAGTAGAAAGAGAAGGGAGGAGCTAGGGAGGGAGATGAACAGTTCCTGTTATGTGTCCAGTGACTGGCCTGCCCCATCCGTCCCCATCTGGCCCCACCTCCTAACAGCAACTGAGCTACACCCCTCCCCTGTGATTAAGTCACCTTCCAAGGTCCCACCTATGAGCAAATGAAGCCTTCTTTAGACACTCTCCATATAAACCCTAATAAACACTTTCCTCAGAATGTATCCCTGTTAAGTGGCAGATGACTTTGTCCCAGAGGACTCACCCCAGACGGTCTGAATCCAAAGCCCTTGCCTCTCCCTTTTATGTGCCTCCTCATGCCCCATAAAACTGGGCAAAAGGCAAGACCAAACCATCCCCCATATTATTTAATAGGATTCTAACGATTCAGTCATTTGCTAAGTCCTTACACCAGTCTGGCTTGCCTCCCACCTACCTCCTGTGCTATTACTGACAAGTATACTATAGACACAACAATACAATTACACACAGATTGTCTTATGCAAAAGCTTCTTAATCACTCAGAAAAAGGACTCTGTAATTATACTCTTTTTGAAATTAAATCCATCATTATCTTTACTGAGGCTATTTGTTTTCTCCTGTGGGTACAAATTATTGCCTGAAGTCACTTGGTTTCAACATGAAGCACTTCCATTGATATTTCTCGTAAGTCAAGAATGTGAGTGCTACCATGGAATGGACCAATAATGGTCCTGGTTCTTTTGTATCTACAAGGAAAGAATTACCAGTAGTAAGTAGCAAGCAGCTATGTTTACTAAAAGTCACAGGAAGTTGTGCTCAGGGCAAATCCACGCCACCATAGGACAGGGCACAGACAGAAAAGGGTGCTGAGGAGACAGAAGAGCCCTGCACATAGATGAAATGGCACAGATGTGAGGACAACAACCAAAAAGGGCAGATACAATGGGATTTAACGCTTCAAAGGCCAAGCCTCTCTGCTTCAGGCGCCTCCCAGTGAATCTCTGGGTGTAGCTGACAGGAATGATTGACAGGGTGCTGAGTCATCTTAGTCTTAATCATCTTAGTCATCTCTGGTCTTAATTATGTTTATGACACATAGTGCATATTAATGAACCTGTCCTGAGTAGGAGTAGGGTAAAGGAGAGCAGAGGTCAGGGTAGGAGATCCAGCACACATCTGAACATCTGTCATCTCCTGAGCTTTTGTTACCTTTTTCAGGACAATGAAAGCAGAAATAACTGTAAGATGCTGTTTAGAATCAAGTGGGAGAAGGGAGGGACTCCCTCAGCTCCACTGCTTTGGCTATATTTCTAGCAAACACGTCTCCAGTTTTTGCTTGCCTGTTTATTTTACTTTCATTTCTGTAAGATAGTATTTCTAGGTGTATGAGTCTTTGTTGACAGGCATTTTTCTTCTTTTGATATTTCAAGTCTGCTATCCTGCTGCCTCTGGCCCCTCTTCTGATGGAAAGGTAGTTTTTAGGGCTTGTGTGTGTGTACGGGCGCGCACACGCTCTTGCTGCTGTCAGTGCATTTCTTTGTCTTTCGACACTGCCTGTAATACACCTGTGCTTCTGTCTCACATGGGATATGCTGAGCTTCCTGGATATGTAGATTAATGTTCTTTTCAACAAATTTTAAGAGCTAGCAGCCATTACTTTTCTGAATAATTTTTCCTGCCTGTTTCTCTTGCTCCTTTCTTTGTGGGATTTCTTTTATGTATACATTGGTACATTTAATAATGTTTTACATACCTCTGAGCTATTTAATTATCTGTTCTTTTTTCTCTCTGTTCTTCAGGCTGCATAATTCTTATTATCTTCTAGTCTGCAGCTTTCCTTCTTTGTGAGACCAGATCTACTGTTCTGTCCCTCTAGTGAATTTTTCATTTTGGTTATGGTACTTTTCAACTCCAGATCTTAGATCAGATAACTGATACTGATAATTGTTATATCTTTACTGATGTTCTATATTGCATGAAACATCATCATTGTATTTTACTTTAAGTCCTTAACCATTGTTTCCCTGAGTTCTCCAACTATATGTATAATAACTATTAATCCTAACAGCTGGCCCCTCTCAAAACAGTGCCTATTGCCTGATGTTAGCTTTTCCTGTGTATCCAACACATTTTCCTATTTATTTGCAGGTCTCATAATTTTTTTT